TCTCCAAACACGGATTTTAATCTATCGCTTGTTCAGACTCAACTTCTGAAAACAGTTTACGGATGCTTCCAAACATGGATGTCAATCTATCGCTTGTTCAGACTCAACTTCTGAAAACAGTTTATGGATTCTCCAAACACGGATTTTAATCTATCGCTTGTTCAGACTCAACTTTTGAAAACAGTTTACGGATTCTCCAAACACGGATGTTAATCTATCGCTTGTTCAGATTCAACTTTTGAAAACAGTTTACGGATGCTTCCCAACATGGATGTTAATCTATTGCTTATTCAGACCCCCAGCTTAGAGATGTTCCAAACATGGATACCTTTCTGATACTCACCCACTCACCTACGACATACAGTTCAACAAATATTCTTGGATGGCATCTTTAATCCCATCTCCGACAAGATTCTGTAACATTCTTGGATGGCATCTTTAAGCCCATCTCCGACATATAGTTCAACAAACATCTCCAGATGGCATCTTTAAGCCCATCCCCGACAAGTTTCGGTCACATCTCCAAATGGCATCTTTAAGCTCATCCCCGACAAGTTTCTGTCACATCTCCAAATGGAATCCTTAAGCCCATTCCCTCAACTACGCTTTGACGAGTGCAAATTTTTTGGGCACTCTAGTGTCCAATCATTCTTTTACCTTCGAGTCGCGAATGACAAAACGGCTAATCTAACTCTTCAGGTTCAAGAAGATTGAACAGGGGCAGCTGTTGTACCCCAAAATTTGCCCTCTCATTCTCCAAGGCCTTTCTCACAAGGATTCTCAAGGTTCAAGCTTGCACAAGTACTTTGGAATTTTCCAGTACCAAAATTAAAAGGAAACTGTCAAAAAGGAGGAAAACATGTCTCTTTCGATTTAGCACCCTTCGACTGACTCTAAGCCTCCTTCGAATGCAACTTGGATTACATCCTTCGTTTTGAGCAAGAGCCTCCTTCGAATGCAACTTGGATTACATCCTTCGTTTTGAGCAAGAGCCTCCTTCGAATGCAACTTGGATTACATCTTTCGTTTTGAGCAAGAGCCTCCTTCGAATGCAACTTGGATTACATCCTTCGTTTTGAGAAAAAACATCCTTCGAATGCAACTTGGATATGTCCTTCATGTTGAACTTAAAGCCTCCTTCGAGTGCAAGTTTAGAAACACCCTTCGATTCAGAAGCCAGGAACTTCCCTCACACTAAAAGGCAATGACTCCCTTTATGATTGTTTCGACCCAAGCTTCGATTGGGCAATATGCTTCCTTCGAGCATGAGCTTTCGATTTGGCAATTGTTTTCTTTGATACAAGCTTCGACTGGGCATTAGCTTGTTTCGACCATAAGGCTTCGACAAAACATTGACTACGTTTGTACTAGCTTCGACTGGACAACATTTAGTGTGCTGCATTTCCATCCCTGACAAACTTCAGCACAGGGTTGATGGCCCCTTCAAACGATGCACAAAGGTGATTCGTTCGAAGGACACTTGTTGGAAGAAAGTCAAACAATATGTTGGAAGAAGAATCTGGTCGAAGGAGGGTCAAAATGAAAGGATGAAATATTCAAAGATGCTTGCTGCCAAGTTCAGGCATGGTACACTAGCCAAAACTGCTGCACAGCAGTCCTGAAACACTGCCCCATTCTTGCACCGAAATAGCATACAACCACTGTCCCTCGAAGGCTACAAAGAGCAGTTTACCCAAATTGTTCAAATTATTTTATTTTCCCTCCAAAAACTTCAGCCAACTTTGCCTATAAATAAGAGGCTCCAACACATATTTTTGGGAGGATCTTTGGACCAGAGGAACGAATCCCCCAAATTTTCTCAAACACAACAAAACTCTCAAGTTCATCAACACTTGAGAAATCAAAACCCAGAATCCCAAACACTCACCTCTTTCGATTCTGAAGAACACCCCACACATAGAAGTTTGTTCAAACTCAAAGACAACCTTCTGTGACAACTCTTCGAACCAAAAGCAAACCCCCTATGACTACTCTTCGATCATAACTTTTCCTCCATTACTCATTTTAAAAACTATGTTGCCAGTACCTTCCGCTTGCAACGAACTATTATCAGCAAGTTTTACCTTACTCTTCTTCGACTCGTCAAAATCTGCCAACCACTCATTTCGAACAGTCATGTGATTTGAGCAGCATGAGTCGAGGAACTAGATCTTTGATTCGACATGGTTATCTACAACTGCAGCCATAACCACCATACCACCTTTAGAATCATCTAAATATTTGCGTGCAAGGTTCGCTCCTTCGTCCTTGTCTGTCGATCCCTTATCTTTTTTGTACCAACAATTCTTGGCTATGTGACCCCACTTTTCACAGTTATAGCACTATGTACCTTTTTATCTTCTTTGTCCTTTCGATAGTTTCCTCCTCCTATTTTCGAGGATTCATAAGCTATGTCTTTGACCTGGTGCTTGTGAGGGTTCGACCAAGACTTCTTTCTCCGAGTCTTGTCGACATTGCCTTTAAACTTGTTGGAACCATCATTCCTTTTCCATGATTGAGCTTATAGTGCTTGTATTGAGTCTTGAACTCATTTCTTTTCGACAATCCTCATTCATGCGCCTCCAAAGAACCAACCAAATCTTCCACTTTTAGAATTTCAAGATTGTTAGATTCTTGAATAGCTACGATAACGTGATCAAAGTGAGAGGTCAACGTTCTCATTACCTTCTTAACTATCATCTTATCAGTTATGGTTTCATCACAATCCTTCATGAGATGGACGAGTTTTTGAACCTTCGACACATATTCTGCAACTTTTTCGTCTTCTTCCATCGATAACTCATATTTTAGATACAAGGTTTGTAACTTGACAACCTTGACTTTCTCACCTCCTTCATAATACTTGACCGGAATAACCCATGCCTCTTTCGCCGTTTCAGCATGAGAGATTTTATCGAAGTTAGCAGCATCGACCTCCGTCTGAATGCAATAAATCGTCTTGCAATCTTTCTTCTTGACTTCGTTGTGGGCAATTTTATGCGCTTCAGTTTCATTTGCATCTATCATAGGAACGATGTCGGTAACCACTTCTAAGATATCATGAAAGTCAAACAAGGATTGAATCTTTTTTTTATCGGATCCAATTTTTACCGTTAAACATTGGAAGAGAATTCAAAATGCCCTTATCTCCAGTCATCTTTGCAACGGTTGATTTGCTTGCCCTGGAAACACGCTCTCTGACGTAAAGTTCTTGAAAACACGATCAAGAACAATAATCGGAAGCTCTGGATACCAATTTGTTAATGCGTGAGATACTTCTAGTGAGGAGAGAAAGATAAAATAATAAGGAAAATAAGAATTATATTATTCACTTGTTACAAATAAGGATACAGACTATGACTATTTACATACAACCCAAATTGGACTTGAGCTAACACAATTTGAATTATATTTAAATATTAAATCTAATCAAATTTAATTTAATATTTCAATATTTGAGATATTAGATTATTTCGAATATGCATATTCGAACGAACCCCTATATTTCATTTTCAGGGAGATTTCAGATATGCATATCCGAAATAACTCAATATCTTAAATTTAGGGGTGACAAACGGGCATGCCCGTCCCGTTTAGGCCGGCAAAAAACAGGACGGGCATAGTAGAGAATGAGGGCCTAAAACCTAGGCCCGCCCAACAAAAAAGAGTGCAGGCGAGGAAAGCCCACGTGCACTGCACCTTTTAGACATAAAAATGCAAAATTATATGTTAATAATCATTCCCGCAAAAACCCGCGATGAAAACAGAACAGAACGGTCACATTAGAGGGTAAAGGTTTAAATTCTTGACCCACCCCGCACTAAAGTGCGGATAAAACAGACATGCCCAACGGGCCGAGCCCGTTTTACCATCCCTACCCAAATTTCTTTTGATTTTATTTTAAAAATGTTTTATTTATAATATAATTAAATTGAATTGTTATTAATAAATAATAACTTAAATTTATAATTGAAAACTAAATATCACATGAAATTAAACAATAAATACAATAATTAAAGAAATATAATTAAAATTTTCTAATTTTTTTCTTTTGAAAAAAACAATCTAGAAATTACGAAATATACTAAAGTTTCCGATACTAAACTGAAAATTTCTGGTATGATACTAATTTAAAAATTTTCAATAGTGTCAAACAATAAACTTTTTTGCTATAAAATAAAATACCGGATTTTTTAAAAATTCTGATAACCCCCCAAATTTATGGAAATTTGTTTTACGGAAATTTCAAAAAAACCAAAATTTTCTTGAAATTTCCAGTACACCCCCTAAATTTTATGATTATTTACAAAGGTATAATGGTAAAAACATTACCCTTTGGGGGTGGCATGTATAATTGGAGGTGAGATGTTAATTCCTCCTTATGTTTGAGGCCTAAAATCCAAAGAGAATTTTTGAGAGCCTTAAAGGGGTGCGAAAAGTAGCAGTATTTCTTTTATCTGGTTGTAAGGACTTCAATATGAACGCTGAATTCTTGGCTATCAGATGGAAAATTGAGTTGTATTTTAAAGGACTATTTCCAATGTCTCGTGAAAGAATGAATTGCTTAATAGGCCGTACAAACAATGAATACTTTACTAATGATAAACCAGTTGTTCTCCTCTATTCAGTAACATTAGTTACCTCCAAATCATAATGAAAGAGAAGAACTATATAGCAACACATAGTATAGTACATTTGTTATGAAGGACAGTGATTTTGTATTCCTGCAAGCAAAAAGCTATATACGTTGTGTTGATCATACACTTGCTTGATTATTTACACATTATAGTTAGTTTCCAAGGCTGTTGTTGTCTTGATATCAAATGATACCAGTATATACAGTATCTCAGTTAGTTGACACAGCCAGAGCCATCAAACAAGTGAAGGGTGAAAGCATGCCCCCATGCCAAAAACATAGAGCATCTTTAACATCAGACTATTAAATAAAACCTATTCACCTCTCAAACTTAATTCTCTTATTAGAATTTTAATTTGATAGTCTACTTCGACTCTTTTTCAGCTAATTTTTGCCTCAGGTTTTTTAGAGCATCCACTACTTCCGCATCAAGATTGTGCTTTAACAATCTACCTTGAAAAGAAGTTGATCTGAATATAACAACATGAATAAGCAAATCAGTCAGCAAGATCTATTAATGTAATTGAGTAAATTAGTATCAACAACAACAATTACCAAGTCGATTCTTTCAAGTGCATAAAAGTCAATACCTAAGCACAATTACCCACACAAGATAACTTAATATTGGAAACTACATAAACAAAGGACACTAATTATGATTGCTAAAAAGTAGTTCGTCTTAAGTTGACAATCACTACAAATCAGAAACTCAATCAAAATCCCAAGAAAACATTTCTTTCGTGATAAAGTGACAATAAATATTATATGCTAGTTCTAACATGAAATGTTGGGTTTGATGGGATGTGAGGAGCCACTTGATCATTACAATACAGTCTCATCTACTGAAGCAGCAACTTCATTCATATTAAGCTCACAAGTCACCATATCCATGAGATAATATTCAACCTGCACACTAGACCGAAAATCCACATTATGCTTCTTATTTATCCAGTATACAAGGTTTCCTACAATACCTTGAAGTAGCTCATTTATTAAAAGTGAACAAGCCCAATCTGCATTCGAATATCCCAAAATGTATTTCTATCATCTTCACACAACAATCCTTGATCCAAAATTTTCTTATATATCATATATCATATATAACACTCAAACCCCAATGTCCAACACATAGAGATTGCACAAATTGACGTATCATGTTAACTGTGAATGGAATATCTGGTGTAGTTACGCTGAATTGGTCCAACTTGCCAACTAGTCTCTTGTAACAACCAATTTCCCTTTAATGTTCACATCCATATGAGGGTTCAGTTTTTCAATTGATTCTGCTAGTTTCTTCCAATATATCCAAGTAATTTTTTTGTGAAATAACATGCCATTCTCTGAATAAGCTATCTCAAGACCAAGGAAGTGTTTAACTATCCCCAAGTCTATGGTTTGAAAAATGACTGAAAAGATGTTTCTTCAATAGACATTCCCTCGCATCATTACCTATAATAACTACACCATTCAAATAAACTACCTGATAAATTCATCTTCTAATTGAAGAATGTCAATACAAAACACTGAACGTACAGCTTTGCTCCAAGAATACAAGTCACCAAATTATTGCACAATAATACTGAATTTCACAAACAAAGCTCAAGGAGATTGTTTTAACCATAAAGAGATCGCTACAACTTACATACTAAACCAAACCTTAATCCCCTTAAGTGACAAACCTATGTGGTTTCTCCATATATATTTATCTTCTTCAAGATGTCCAAGAAGGAAGGAATTTTTAGTGTTTACTTGATATAATGACCATTGACCAATGCCAAATAGTTGCCATGGCAAGAAGTCAAGTTAAAACTTAAAACCATCTAGGACACCGAAGAAAATGTCTCACCATAATTAAGGCCATATATTGGAGAGTACCCTTTTGCAACTAACAGGCCTTTAAATGATATATTTGGCCTTCTAAACCAACCTTCATACCATATAAATATTAACATCCAACAACAGTTTTTCTTCAAATGATATATTTGGCCTTCTAAACCATCCTTCATACCATATAAATATTAACATCCAACAACAGTTTTTCTTCGGGAAAGAGGAACTAATAGACACATCAACATCCAACTATCTTTCTTGGGGAAAGAGGAACTAAGTCCCACATATAGTTATGCTCGGGAGCAATCATCTCATCATGGCTTGCCTAATTTAACTCATATGAGAGAGCCTCACTAAAATTCTTAGGAAGAAAGGCAAAGGACAGAGTAAGACATAATACCATAGCAGGATAAAGAAAACTAATGAAAACTTTTTTTAAAAATATTGTAAATCTGATAGGGTTTCTACTGGGCATAGTATCTTTTCGAAGAGCAATTGATAGATAATCATCAAAATGTTTATCATTCATATTGTTTGAAAAATCGTTGGAGTTGGGCATGACTCGTGGCGTTTCTCATTGGCTTCTTCAATTGCTAGAAATCTGGAATGACATTCCATTGATGACATTGATGCGTATTGACAGGTTTATGCTGAGGATATGATTGAATCTCGACAGTTCTAGAATCCACCAATGGGACCTTCAAGGGAGATAAAGATGGATAAAACAGGAGTAGGCAAGGCCTAAAGAAGTACATTAGGTTCAATAGTAGACAAGAGGGATCTAAAGAAGTATATTGATGATTAGGGACAAACAAATGGTAAGGGTATCCTTTTGCATCCTAGAATCAGCAAACTATACCAACCAAGAGAAAGATCACAAACAAAACATGCACAACCAAACACAAGTTGAAATATAACATAAACGAAAATTTGGAAACTAACACCTCATGAGGAACTTCATAATTATTAGCTGAAAAAAGGCATAGAACAGATTTAAAAGCAAGGTGTTTGCATAGCACCCCTTTGTATAAAACAACAGTACGAGCAATCACAATAATATGGCAATTTCATCTTTCAACTACCTTATTTTGTTCAGATGCATGAAAGTGTGCGGATTTATAAAAGATGTCAAGAGAAGACATAAATGATTAAAATTCATAGGAGGAAATACTCATTTGCATTGCCACTCCTTAAAATCCTAATTGATTTGAGAAATGGATTTTGAATTTCAGCACAGAAACCATAAAAGAAATTAAGAATGATTAGTATCATCACATGGAAAGAAACTTGCTTGGATATCACTCAAAAGATGCATGGGAAGACGCTTGGGCCTGGCCACCTACTGTTTACTACATGTAGTTCCTTGCACAATCATGTTACGAGTACGGGAATTTTGCAATTTGGATGTTATTTTTGTTTCTTCATTTTTGGACTGAATTATAATGCATGACCCCATTAGATTTGCTCTAGTTTAATTAAGACCATTATAATTTGAGTTTGTTTTAGATTTGATTCATCTCAAATTTGAGTTTAGGATTTTTTTTATCTTAAATTAAGAGTGGAATCTCTTTGAGCATAGTAGTTTGTCTGTGGCACGCAAATTTGACTAACCAATCAGAACATTCATGGTATAGTGGCATGTTGTTCACTGTCAAGATTTAGTTCACCTGTTAGGTGTGGGGTCAAGGTGTGGATGATATCAAGAATCACGTGTCTAGTTGACTGTGGGATCGCAGTGAATTCAGTTATATCTGTTGGTTTTTATTACTTGTATAACATTGGGTTCTGATCTTCCATAGGTGTTTCGTTCTTCTCATTACTCATAAGCTTCAATTCAAAGTTACCACCTTAACAAATCTGAATTTAGTCTCGACGGCTAGCGAATGCATGTCAAGAAAAACATGAATATGGAAAGCAACTCAATACTATCAGTCATTAAGACGAATAAGGTACAAAGGAGAAAGTGTCGACTCAATAGGTACATGACTTGGACCTCGTATATGAATGAACGATAACAAAAGGAAACCCTATTTGACCCCAGGCTTGGACTAGAAAAGGAAGAACAGACATACTTTTCAAGGTTACATGACAAACAACTCAAATATTCTATCTTTGCAGTAGGATATAGGCATTAACAGATTGAGATGACCAAGGCATTGATAAGCAATAGAGAAATATCCATAAAAATAAAAAAACAACACTGAAAGACTCAGCAGCAAGGCATATCATGGAATATATCTTCAGATTGTGAAGTTCATGTGCTTCATACTTTATGCCAGTGGTCTTAAACATTCCACTGTCCAAGATTGTAAAGGAATCAAAAGTAAAATTCTGGAACAGTTAAAGGTCAACTCAAGAAAATCAAATTAAAAGGACACACGGGGAACAAATAAACAAATTATAATGACATAGATGTTGTAGGAAGTAAAGAAGAATGCCTTATACAAGTAATTTAGAGTCACCAGAAAGTATCACAAAGCTAGACAAACCCTGTAGAGCAAAAAGACTAAAGTGATCGGTCACCAAATTAATGATTGGAGGCAGTAGTATCAAGTATCCAAGAAGTTAGATGATTACCGATATGTTTATATACAAATAGTAGGAATGTCGATATGAGCATTTGTGGAGGTGGAGGACTGAGTCTGTTGTCTACTTTCAGTGGAACATGATCCTAATATTCAGCTTCAAAGAGAAATATAATATAAAGGCGTTGCTAGGACAATGGCCATACGCACAAGACAAGGGGTACAATACTAGGGATCATTGGAGCAAAGACCCACAATCTAAATCAACACTTAATTGGTCACATTTAGGATATAGATTATAGGATAACTATTGTAGCTATGAGTTGGTTAATAGAAGTTAGTACTTTGATAAGTTTGTTAGGTGGTTGTGAAGAGTTGTCATTTTGGTTATTCTTAGGAAGTCTTTAAATAGTCCTCAACTGGTAGAGGAAAAGATAGCTTATGAATAATTAAATTTAGTGACTAGAGATAGCTCTAGTGTGAGAGAAGAGTGCTCCTTTGGGATAGCCTTGAATGTAAGGTTAACTTCATCATTGTAAATCTTTTATATCTCCTCTTTCAATCCTATTATCCCATTCTATTGATAGTAACAGAAAGATATTGTTAGGAACCCACAGTACTTAATAACACAGTAACACAGAATAAAGAGATGGCCAGCAGAATGATTGTTTATTAATGATAAAATTGGAAAATACAGAGAAGGAAATGACCCATAAATCTGACAGAGCAAAAGTTCCTATAGGTGGCTAAAGCCTCCTATTGATATCTAACAACTTAATTCTTCCAAGGTGTCCTCTCAACCTCTCTTCTATTCCTTATAAAGTGGAAAGATTCCAATCATTCTCTCACCTCCACTGCATAACAGAATTATCTCTCAATTTCCGTTTTTGCCCCTTCTAGAATAGACTCTCCGTATTATGGACCTATGAGTGTTATGATGCACGAGAGGTACTCCCCCTCCACTATAAGTCATGTGGTTCCTATCAATACTCTCTTCTGAAACTGTAACCTTGTCCTCAAGGTTAAATGTTGGAAATTGACTCTTAATAGTAATTACAACAGTGGCTCGTGCAATGGAAGAGAAAGAGTGTTGATGAAGCGACTTGGCAAGATGTACGTACTACTAGCTGCAAGTATTGAAATATATACTTTTTATTATTGAGAAGTCTGGGAGACAAATTAAAATTTTTATTCTGTTCTGCACTTTGTGCCGCTCGCCATACAAGCGTGACAACCGTCACGCTTCACAAACTGGTCCCGCCTAGCACAAAAGCATGCCCCTCGGCACAGTCAGAAACAGAAGCGCTTCTGTTTTAACACAAACCCTTATCGATTCTTCTTCTTCTCATTTTCTTCAACCCCCCACTTTAACTCTATTAAACCACCGTCTATCTCACTCCCTCCATTATCATTATCATCAAAACTCACAAATTCCCACACATTACCCTCTCTATTTTTCTCTACATATACACTCTCAAAACCCTCTTCCATTCCAAAACCCCTAATTTTCACGCATTTCTTCCGCAAATCACCTAACCATCTTCCATCTTTGATTCAACTATCGTACGCAGAAACTCACGGCCGAAACCCGACCTTTCTGGGATTACATTTCGAAATGGGGAAGCCGGAGAACACCAGAGGACTCAGTATCTCAAATTTTATCAATGCTCCGTAATCCCTACACGGTATGTTGATACTAAGTGTTTGCGCAAATTGGGACTGCTAGATAGTGTCCGGTGGTTACTTAGAAACTTTGATTTAGCATTCGTCTGCGCACAAAATCTTCCTACGTATGAGTCGCTAACTTTGGAATTCTTAAGTTCGTTCTCGTACAACCCACCATGCGATGAAAGTCTGCCCCTATCCAGATCGGCAACTTTCAGAATGTTCAACGACGAATATTCTATAACTCAAACAACTCTGAGTGATTTCTCGTATACTACTGAATCCCTACAGAAGCAGATTGGGCATCTACACCTTTCAGGATTTGGAAAGCTATCTCTGATGAAGAACCGACCAGTTGGGAGGGACTTTATGCATCATCTATACATAATTCCGCAATCCAGTATTTTCACCGCGTCATCTCCAACATTATTTTTGGGAGGATCAACAACAACAAGGTTAATTCTAAAGAAGTGTTCCTCCTGCATTGTACCTTCACTCCTAACCATAAGATCAATGCCAGCACGTTCCTCTTGTCGCATATACAGTCTTTGTGTGCAAGAGGGTCTACGTCTTTCTGCATTGGAGGGCTAGTTACCTCTATAACACTTGGTCTGTGCCTCGAAGACAAGCTTGCAAATCTGCCTCCACTGCCGCCCACATTCATTGACATTGACAACTGTCGGGCTGGACACTTTATTAAGGTCAGAGGAGATTGGAGGTATAACCTTATGGTGCATAACAGAGTAGTTCCTAGTGTCATTTTGTCAAACATTGCGCTTACAGATATAACAAACATGAAAAAATGGCTTTATGATCTTACTGCTCCTGCACCTGGAGAAAACGTGCAAAACAACCAAGGCAATGCCCCGGCTAATGAGATGGAGCAAGGGGATGCTGAACAACAAGCTCCTTCTGAAAATGTGGCGAGCACGTCCACGAGAACCAGAAGAAGACGCGAAAGAGTATCGGCCTCAAATGATGACATTATGGCTGCCATCATGCAACAAGATGAGAGGGTCAAGTTATGCAAAACAATCAAAATGCAATGATGCAAGCTATGCAAACTCAGCAGCAAGAATATGACGAGCGCCGGGCTGCAAGAATGACCGAGGAAATGGCAGCTTTAACTGTACGCATGGATGGTTTCAAGAATATATGTACAATGTGGGTTTGCCTCATCCTCCGGTTGGACGTGGTGGACGTGGACGAGCACGAGGGCAAGGAAGAGGACGTAACAATGAGCAAGAGTAAATTGAATTTGCTTCTCTTCATGTTTTCTCTTTGTTTTTAAGCATTGGGACACTGCTTGATTCAAGCTTAGATGAGCTAGTTAGTTAGGAAACACTTTACTGTTTTCTAAGTAGATTTTTCATTCCTGCTTGTATTTCTTGTAATTCAAACATCTATGTACTTTCGAGTTCTTTTATGCAAACTTTTCTGCTATTATCTAATTTCCCCACTTTCTTGAGTCATAACAAAAAATTTGTTCGTTACTTGCATAACTTGACGCATTCGAAGAGTATACAGGTTGCTCATTTTTAAGTTATATGAGAAACCTTGAGTAAAACAAAGGCACAATGGATACCGTCGTAACACTCTAAATCCCCAAATTACGCTAGATCGATTTCAGTACCCTTTATACCGAAACCTTAAACTTTAGTTTTAAAGTAACCCCGAGTAGTTTATTTAACAGACCGCACCGTCTTAAACACAAACTACGTAGGAAGTCGATAAATATAAGTGAATGATCCCAAATATTTAAAAAAGTTACATGCTCTACTATTAGAAAATAGGGAATGCACCATTTAAGTTAGGCGACCCTCACCCGGTCACTTAATCCAACGGATGCGGAACCTACACAATATAACATAGAAACCCGTTGTCGGTTGGTTCAGAGGTGTCTGGTACTGAACTTGGTAGGGCGGACTACGGTCCGATCCCCCGCAACTTGCAATTGGGTGAATTAAAGGAGGTCACCACATATATGTTCCAGAACCTCGTGCTTAAAGGATCATATTCACTAACTGGCTACTCTACTATGTGTGTGTAGATAAAGGGCTTAATGTGATTGCACTAGAATGAAAACGGGTGAAATTTAGCGAAAAGAATTAGGTTGAGCTATAATGACATGACTGAAACTTGTCTGCACAGTCGGGGGCGTTGAGCTATAATGGCATGACTGGAATTGGTCTTCACAGTGGGGACGTTTAGTGTTATTACCGTATCTTTTGTGTTATGTTGAGCTTAGGTTCCCGCGAAAACATTGGCACAACCTCTTACGATTCAAATTGCATCATGTATTTGCATTTAACTTGTGCTCCATTGATTTTTTATACTAACTATATTGCTTGAGGACAAGCAAAGGTTCAAGCTTAGGAGAGTTTGATAACACGAAAAGTTATAGCATTTCCCGCCCGATTTACATAGATAAAGCTTCTGATTCTTCGTTTATTATGTCGCATTATGTCTCTATTTGTAGTATTTGCAGCATATTTCAGGTATTTAGTTTCTGCAAAGCATACATGAGAAAAGGAAGAAGAATATTGGAGAAATGAAGAAGAAATTGCACTTTAGCAGCAAAAACGCAAATATTATGTATCAGAAGTCATGCCGCCCGTCAGAGACGCATGCCGCCCGTCACAAAGTCCAAAAGTGTGCCCCTCGACACACTTCTTGTCTCGACCGGCACGGAATGAAGATACGTGCCCCATGCCACAGCGCATGACACTCGCCACATAGCATATATCAGTTACGAAAATGTCTCCATGAAACGCACGACTTGCTGAAAATTCTCCACGCTTGAAGAACGAAGATCAAGGGATTATTCCTACTTTTGCTCGGCATATGGAATCTATAAAACCAAGACAGTTACCAAAACAAAGGACGTTCGCACACCTGCTCCAAATTTCTTTTTTTTTTATACTGCAATATTGCTATTATTTTTTCAGTTTTACAGTTTTTGATATTTTTCCAGTTTCGTTTAGAATTTCCGTAAGCAAAGAAAACCATCACCATCAAAGCAATATTTCTTCACATTGGAGGAATATTGCAACTTTAGTTTTCCTTCTAGCTTCTAGAATTCGTTTATGTTTATTTTTTTCTTCAAGATATTTTATTCCGAAGTTAAGCATGCCGGCTTGTGGAGGATAGCATACTGCACAATTATTCTTCAGTGTTTTATTCCAGATTCCAATTTTAAATATAGTTTATTTATTTTTACCATGCCTGTGTTATTGAATGTATGTTTTTATTTTATGTTATCACAATAAAATTATGTTTGGCTAATTTCCCCGGTATGTGAGGTCCTAAACCGAAGGAATTCGGTAATTAATTGGCATAAATATTTTACAATAACACTTTTCTGGTTTTGATTTCCAATTTGGATATTAAATTGTTTTGTTACGAGAGTAAAAGACAGACTAAAGATAAAATCAACAGAGCGAGAGTTTGAGGTTTTAGCCAGATAGTGGTGATTGAACATTAATTTTAAAAACAGCGAGAGCGCTTTAAAATTAATTGGACTCTATTTGTTTTCAAAAAATACTTTTAAACTTTAAATGACACAGCGAGAGCGCTCAATTGAGTTTAATAATATGGCCTGAATCGATAGAACGAAAGTGTGAGACAAGGGTTTTTAAATTAATAGTTTCCATTGAAACAGTGTTTTAATACTTAAAATTATGCCAATGACTTATTGAATCCCTGAAATTGACAAATTACATACCGGTGTCCCGTTATCAATTATTAGATCTTAGTTAATTCCCGTTTAAATCCCAACATCTTAATTTTATAATTAGCCTTAACTTTACACAGTGACCCTAGATAACAGTAGTTTGACCATCAGTCCTTGTGGGTTCGATATCTTTTAAAACTACGCAATTACACTGTGCACTTACAGTCACTACACCCGACAGATTCTCAAAGTCACGATCATGACTATATTTGGACAAGCGGTCAACAACCACCGTGACTGCTTCATATCCCTTAGCTTGGGCAGACCGGTAATGAAGTCCATTGGTAGAAGTTCGAGAAGACCTCCAAGGGAGACAGCGAGATATTTATGCCTTTGACAAGTATCGCAACTCTTGACAAAATTCTGTATTGCATTCTTCATTCCTGGCCAGTACACGTTAACGGCTATCCTCTTATAAGTTTGAAGGAACCCCGAATGACCCCCTTGTGGGGTATTGTGAAATTCCTGCAACATCTTTGGGATTAAGGTAGATGTTGATGACAAAACCAACCTTCCCTTATACAACAAAGTCCCCTGATGAATGCTAAAGCCCGGGTGTGCTAGATGATTCTCTTGCAATTCTTCATAAATTTTCTTGAGATTTACATCGCTCTGTACCTCTTGACAAACTATTTGTGATCCTCCCAGCAGGGATAAGACACACAACTACTGAATTCTGCTTGCTCATGAGTTCTGGATAAGGGATAAGACACACAACTACTGAATTCTGCTTGCTCATGAGTTCTGGATAATGCATCTGCCCCTTGATTCATCTTGCTTGGCTTGTATCGGGTGTCAAAGTTGAATCCCAACAATTTAGCAACCCAATTTTGTTGCTCTCCTGTGATAATCTTCTGCTGCAACAAGTCCTTCAAACTCCTCTAATCAATGGACACAACAAATTTTCGACCAAGTATGGTCTCCAATGTTGGACAGCCAACACACACGCCATAAGCTCTTTCTCATAAGCTGATTTTGTCAAATTCCTCACACCTAGTGCCTTCTGAAATATGCAATAGGATTTCCGTCCTGCGTCAGAATTGCTCCCAACCCCGTTCCGGATGCATCACACTCGATTATGAATTCCTTGTCAAAGTTTGGTAACGCCAAAACTGGAGCTTCTATCAACTTCTTCTTGAGCGTGTCAAACGCTTGTTGAGCCTCTTCCCCGTCGAAATGCTTCTTTCTTCATGAGTTCTGTTAATGGCTTGGCTATTTTACCGTAATCACGAATGAACTTACGGTAATAGCCCGTTAGCCCTAAGAATCCTCTTACCCCTTTTACATTCTTGGGTTCTGGCCACTTGAGCACACTTTCATACTTGTTAGGGTCTACTGCAATTCCCTGCTCAGAAATCATGTGCCCTAAATACTCCACCTTGTTTTGGCCGAATTGACATTTCTTCCTGTTGACCGAATTGATGTAATTCAAGGAGATGAAACACTTGCTCCAACTGACTCAAATGCGTCTGCCACTCTACTATATATGAGAATGTCATCAAAAAAAACCAAAAACCCCTTTTCGCAGCATAGGTCTGAATACTTCATTCATCAACCCTTGGAATGTGGATGGAGCATTCATTAATCCAAACGGCATAACCAAGAACTCATAATGACCTTCATTTGTTCTAAATGCGGTCTTGTGTACGTCATCGCTCTTAACTCTCACTTGATGGTATCCGGATTTCAAATCCAGTTTGGAGAAATACTTTGCCCCGTGTAATTCATCAAGTAGCTCTTCAATTACAGGGATTGGGAATTTGTCTGGAAGTGTAACCTTGTTAAGAGTGCGATAGTCGACACACATGCACCACGTCTGATCCTTCTTCTTCACCAGAATAGTCGGACTGAAATACGCACTCGTACTGTGCCTAATGATTCTGGAATCAAGCATCTCTTACACTTGCCTCTCAATTTCATTTTTATGAAGGTGGGGGGTAGCGATAAGGCCTAACATTGACTATGCCTTCACCTGGTTTTATGTTAATCGAATGCTCCCTCCCCCGGTAAGGAGGTAACCCAACCACCTCTGCAAACACCTTCTCGTGTAGTTTTAACACCCCTTGTAACTCTCCTTGTTGGCTTTCAGAAAGTTGCATCTCTGACGGTTCACTCACTATCAATTGTCCACAATACTCCTCTGTTGTGCTTCTTGCTCCTACTTAGCAAACTCTGTAGTGCCTCGTCAGTGTTGCTATTAACCCTTACACCTTGCAAGTTAATCCATCTCTCCCCACTCCAAAAACTCATGGTATGTTTATCCCAATTAACTATCGTGTCCCCAAGCGTTTTGAACGACTCGACGCCAAGTACTAGATCCGGTCCCCCCGATTCAAACAAGTGAGGTGCACACTTAATTTTGAGTTCTCCGATTTCCACTTCCAACTCAGTACAAACGACCCTTGGTTGAAATCTGAAAACCATCTCCCAGCCTAATGGTCATATTTGGTGTATCTATTGTATTCCAACCCATTCTCCGCACCAATTTTTGATCAATGAAATTGTGCGTCGCTCCGCTATCCACAAGTACTAACACCGGCACGCCTTGGATCTTTCCTTCAAATTTGATTGTTTGAGGTCTCTCCTTGTTGGTAGCGATGATGTTGTTCAAACTCATCACACTTATCTCCCCATCGGTTTCGTCATCTTTTTCATTCACTTCCACCACCAGAATTTGGTTTTCGTTAATCTCCTCATCACTTTCTTCTACTATTAACACTCTCCGATGTTTATCTGGGCACTTATGCATTGGGTGAAAAGGCCCACCACATTTAAAACATAAGCCTCGCTTTTTGTTTTCTTTCCGATAACTCAGGATAGGTGAGGTGAGAAAAACCCCTACCCCTTGGCCCATTTCTCTTTCCCTCTGTGTGGCCCATCTTGTCTTTTCTGGGCCCAATAGAGATTCTATCCACACCCCCAATTCCACGTTCTTGTGTACTTCTAAAAACACCCAATCTGACCCACTACTACGACCCGAGCCATTTCCATGGGTTTTGTAACTGGATCCTCCCCCTGGTTTGGAAAAACGATTGTGACTCGACCCACTTTCTCCTTTGACCTCCTTCTCTACAGCACGTACAACCTGCAAGAGTTTGGCACGCGTCATTCCGCCCATCGCCGCTAAGCTCCTTACCTTCTCTCTAATATCTCCTTTCAATCCATGCAAAAAGTACCCTTGTGGAATTGCTTTTTTGGTAATTTCAGTGATATACTAATCAATGGTCCCCTTCTGACGTAGTTCTGACAGCTGCTCATAAACGTCTCCCTCACCATGACCGCCATAACGTTCCAGCAGAGCGTCTTCCAAACCCCCCCAAGTCAATGAATTTTCTTCATCAAGAAGAGAGTTGAAAAAATGGATTGTCGGACCCTCCATGCACAGTAGTGCCAAATTCACCTTCACCTCCGGCGACGTATCTTGAACCCGGAAATAGATCTCCGCTCGCGAGATCCACCCTGCTGGATCCTCATCGTCAAACGTCTTACCCAAGCATTTTTCCAGCATTGCTATCAAGTTCGCGTGGTTGATTGTCACCGTATTCTGGACTTCGTCCAGAGTTGATCGTACCTCCGAGATCTCACTCTCTAACATTTCGACCCTAGCTTATCTTCGTGAACGCCGGCAACGTCACCTTCTTGGGTGGCATTCACTGGCTCTGTCGTCGAAGAATCCGGTAGGTCGGACCAATTTGTTAGGAACCCACAGTACTTAATAACACAGTAACACAGAATAAAGAGATGGCCAGCAGGATGATTGTTTATTAATGATAAAATTGGAAAATACAGAGAAGGAAATGACCCTTAAATCTGACACAAGAGCAAAAGCTCCTATAGGTGGCTAAAGCCTCCTATTCATATCTAACAACTTAATTCTTCCAAGGTGTCCTCCAACCTCTCTTATATTCCTTATAAAGTGGAAAGATTCCAATCATTCTCTCACCTCCACTGCATCACAGAATTATCTCTCAATTTTCGTTTTTGCCCCTTCTAGAATAGACTCTCCATATTATGGGCCTATGAGTGTTATGATGCACAAGAGGTACTCCCCCTCCACTATAAGTCACGTGGTTCCTATCAGATATTCAAAGAATTCTTCTTTTCTCAATTTTGTTGATCAATCTTTATTCTAGTTAGAACCACTCTCTTGTTTATTCATTTCTGCCCAGTTTTGTGAGTTATTTCCATATATCAAAAGAAAGGTTCCTAACTCTGCCAAACCCCAAAGAGATTAAAAGAATTAGATGGTCTGGTTACGGTTATTCTAAGGCTGCTACATCAACAGTTTCTGGCTAGGAGTGTTCCAACAGTTGTTTGATCGGAGAGGGTTGGTTGGAAGACCTAACTTGATTGCAGCCACGAATGACATGATTTTTTAGTTTCTCACTATATAGCTTGAACCAGACCCGGGTGGATGGCTTTAGTACCATTTTTAGTTGGGCAAATATTGACCGAGTTACTAGAAACTACATATAAACAAAAACTAAGGAAACTAATTATATGACAAATATCAAGACAAAACTGATACGGTGCTAAATAGATTATATTATCCCTAAATAGGAGATACTTTCTAACAATAGTTAAATTTTCCTTTCCATTTTGGCATAACTTTTCTGCAGGAACCATCAAGAATTAAAATGCAAGCATATAAATAAATCCAGATAATTAGATATTCGTTAAGGAAATTTGTGACTGTAACAAAAAAATCATAATAAGTCAACATAAAAGAAATATAACAAAACGAATAATTCTGATGGAAACTACATATTTTTCAAACTTAATGGAGGTGTGGCATACCTTTGCTCTTTAAGCATCTTATCAGCCTCCTTTCGTAATGTCTTGATCTACTATCCAAACAATTAATAAACAAGACCATGTAAAATATCATTGAAGGATGTAAAAATCATCCACGGGATTGTCAAAATAATCGGAGATTTGGATTTCTGAACCTCTTTAATTGCAAGGCCATGTATTTATAAATTATGTGAACTCTTAAGTTTAATACTCCACTAAAAAATATTGAGATTTAAATGTGCAACAAAAACAATTAAAGACGTGCATTTTATGAGAAGAAAACATTCAAAAACGTCATATGAAAGTCTTACCTCAGTTATCAATGCCTTGCAACTCCAAACATAGGCTCCCTGAAAGCATGCAGAACATAAATCTTTTGCACATATAAACAGAGCATGACACAATAACAGTTACCAGACAACCGGGTGATGGTATGCACCAGCATTTTACAAAATAAGGGAAATCATAATAAAATCATATAATATTTTTATTTCCTTAGTTTGCATTGATTAACAAGGAGAGAACAATACTCATAATTGAAAAAGAATTATAAAGACAATTGACAATCAAGTTGCTCCAATTTACTCAAGTTTTCAATTTATGAAAATGTGCATACTGCCCAATTTACTACTTCCTGTTGAGAGTGATCAGAAGTGACAACCCAGACTTTAGGGCAACCGTCCTCCTTTAAAGCTAAAACCTAAATCGAGTAAAGAATGAAACTGTTAAGTTCCATTCAATGAATACAATCAAATTAAATATGTCCACCATTCATAAAAAAGACAAACACTTCCCAATTGATACTTTCAATTTTCATGCAAGAAGATTCACTTCATGAAAGAAAAAATAAAGCTCTATTATAAATGAAAATAGTGTTTGCAAGTGTTGTAAAGCCCAGAGTACCGAGTTCAATTCCTACTCGTGAAAAATCAGCTCTGTTATAATTGACTTGTGCAAATGACCACTGATTTTCTGATTAAAAACACTAGTAAGTTATATGCATCACATAATTGCATTTGAAGGTCCTCGTTAATCTTATTTTACATTATGGAACTATAGATGCTAATCCATTAATATCTTACAAGAATTTAACATATAAAAGCAATAGCAGCAGAAGATGCTAGCACGTTGAAAACAGGGTCAAGAGCTGTGTTGCATGGATACAGGTACAAATACCAGTATTGGTATGCACAAGGTTACAGGGTCACAAATTATGAAGGAAATAAAGTGTCGATTTATTTCATTTAGCAACATACTGTTAGTAATAGGCATATTAGGCAGTTGATTATAAATACAGGGTGAAAAGGAAACGGGGGGGGGGGGGGGGGGGGGGGAGGGGGAATCAGGTATTTCGTATGTTGGTTTGGGGAGAGACTAGGCTCTCTAATACCTAGAGGTTAGTTTATCTATCAATTGTTGATTATAAACAATTTGTACTTTGGTATCGGTTCCTATCAACTGGTATCAGAGCAGTTCTGATCCTAAGCAAAAAAATCCCAATACGGGGAAATGGACATGCCACAATTTGACGGCAGTGAAGATGCCTATTGGTGGTTGATTTGTATTGAGAAGCATTTTGATGTTGTGGGAACACCGGAAAGTGAGAGGTTGTCCGAGGCAGTGAAAGCCTTGAGAAACCGTGCTCTCAAATGGTGGCAGTGGTGGAGTCGGCGCCATCTACAAGCGAATTGGCAAACGTTTCCGGTTGCGCTACTTTGGCATTTTAAGCCAGAGTATAGAGACCTTCTTCCTATATCATATGAAGAGGAACCTGAATTAGAATCGGAGTCGTCGATGCCTCACACATTCAACGTTCATCAAGAAGAAACAAACCTCGGAATTCTGCACTCATTCAGATAGTGGAAGAGAGAAATGAGGAAAAGGCAGAAATTCCAAAAGTAGAAGATGCTGAAAATTTACTCGTGAATGTCATTGTCGAAAAGTAACAACGGACAAAAGCAGATTTTTGCAAATTTCTTGCTATCAACAGACACTTTGATGAATATGGCGTGAGTATGGTGTGTGAATCAAGGACAAGACTGTCTAAAACAAGGAGCAGAGAGGAATGGGCTTCACTAAAGTTGGACACCCTAGAGCCATCACCGCCGAAGCCGCCAGATCCAGACGGGTGCTTGGTGAAGGGTGGATTATCCTTTGGTTTGATAAAATCGTCGCTGCCAATGCCTACTGCTATCATGCGTTGTTTTTGGATCAAACAGACCACTCAAAACAGAGTGTGTGAACCAGGCATAAGTTATTACGTTTCACGCCTTGCTCTATCACTCTACTGCAAATTATGGGACCCAGTGGATACTTATGTTATCCTTTGTCATCACCTTGAGGACAAGGTGATAGTTTAGGGGGGCAGTATTGTTAGTAATAGGCATATTAGGCAGTTTATTTTATTATTATTAAATGTTGTGTGTGCAGTAACTATTAGTAACAGTCATGTAACTGCTTTGTAACTTCTTTAGGTTGTCAGAATTATAAATACAGGGTGAAAAGGAAAAGGGAGGGAATCAGGTATTTTGTATGTTGGTTGGTTTGGGAGAGACTAGGCTCTCTAATAACTAGGGTTGGTTTATCTGTCAATTGTTGATTATAATCAGTTTGTACTTTGGTATCGGTTCCTATCACATACCAAACAACTTAGCAACAAAACTTGGAGTTATGTAAAGATTGACTTGAATATTGAAAATAACTAATGGGTGAGTATTGTAAATATAACCATGAGTACACGATATTCTGTCTACAAAAAAAACTTGGAGTTACTTAAAGATTAGCTTGAACATTTAGTAATAACTAATGAGTGAATATTGTGTACATAACCATGTGTAGACAATATTGTGTCAAAAAAACAAACATGTGTACCCGAGAAGTGCCGATAGTGTGTGCATGCGTAATATGGGAATACAATATGTATTTAAGGAGAACCCATGCATTGTAGATCAAAATCAAAACTACAATGATCACATATCTAGAGGTCAAAGAGATAGTAAAATTCTTATTCCAAACGTCTTCTGCAAAACAAGGAACGCATCCATAAAATCATGATTCATGATACTTGTCCAGAGCAAAATTACAGATAGAACTCCATTGACCTGTAGTTATATCTAACCTCTTTTTCAATCCATGTATCAGCGGATGTTTCACTTGAGAAAACAACGTCAATACTGCAAAATGGCCAAATTATAATCTATAAGATTGGAATTTAGAAGAATGTAAAAGTTAAAATGATGTTATAACTATCATAGTCAAACGAAATGATTACATTTCCGTGTGATGATAAATGAAAAAGTGGTGCAGCATCTAAAAGTAAGGGTGGAAACACTACCCAGCAGCAGATTCTTTGTGATTAGGGAATCCAGACATCATGGCATCAAATACAACAACCACTTTAACCTCTGTAGAAGCAAATAACATTAAAAACATCAATGAAGGACGATAATACTAGAAAGCATAAAAATGAGTAATAGTGAGGGTGGAAGCAGAAACCTCTGAGCATACTAAAGTCTCTAAGCTCGTCAATCAGCTTTTGGCGAGCAAGCTCAAGTTGTCCACTCATAAAATGTTTCTTGAGCTTCAACCAATATCCACAGACATTATAGCCATCAACAAGCAACACAGGGACAGCATTATTATCTATTATACCCAACTCGTTTGTGCTGCAGTGCATGATAGAAATTTAGCAACAAAAAAAGGCCTGTTTGTTATGGTTGCTACTTTCAAGTTAGAACTCGTTAAAATTGTCTTATTTGAGTTTATCTTTGAGCATGAGCACCTCTAAGGGCCTGTTTGGATGGGATTATTTGAGCTTATCTACTACCACAAATTTTGTGTCACTGTTTGGGAAACATGATCAAAACAGCTTATGACATTTTTCTTAGATTTTTTTAAAATTTATTTTTATCAATTGTTCAAGATAGCAAATGAAAAGAACTTATAATAACATACATAAAAACAATATAAATTTATTTAATTTTTGTTATAAAAATAAACTTATTCATAAGCACTTATTTTGATAAGCAATTGCGCCATAAGCTGCAAATAAACTGTTAATCCAAACAGGCCATAGAGAATTTATAAAAACAGCTTATGACATAATCGTAAGTTTATTTCCAGCTAATTTTCATAAACTCTTTAGATAACTTACAAAAACACAATATAGCTTAGACAGGTACAATTTTAAGTTGTTTATCCAAAGGCGTCTTACTGGTAGAGGGAAGAGGTAGGATCACGATAGAGATCGTCGTCGTGGCGAGTATCAGCCTTTTCCGCCTTCTTTTTACGGTAACGGGTGGAAAGTCTTGGAGTGGTAGATTTTCGTTTTTGGTACTCCTAAATAATAGATAGAAAATGAGTAAATTGAAAAATTAAAAAAAAAAATTGTAATGAGGTAGTAGATAGGTACCTTCCATGACCTGAGGAATCGAAGGTTTTGGTTGGCGTTAGAAGTGATTCTGGGAGGAGTTGGTTGAGAATCGGAACCCTAATTAACGAGTAGCAGGGAAGAAAGCATAAGAGAAAACGAGAAACGAGTGGATGGAAATTGTGATTTAGAAACAAGAATTAAGGGAAAGGAGGAACCTGAGCGTCATTTTTCTGATGGTGCTTTTTGCTTTTGGAGGTTACTATGAAATTGAAACTGTGCTTGTGTCTGCGAACGGAGGAGGAGGAAGAAGAAGCATTGTAACTTGAATCACGGAGTGGAAAGGAATGGAAGCGAATTGTTGATGGAAGTAATTCCAGTTTCATAGCAGCACTGGTAATAATTACTAGAATATTAGTCTTGTTACTTGTTCATGTATTTTTATTCATAATAATTTGTTTCTCCCTTTCTTCTCATGCTTCCTTCCACCTCTCTCTTCCTCATCCTACCAAACTAAATTTCGATCAAAATAATAATATAATTATTATTTTTATTTTATTTTATTTTTGTGCTGGCATTGGGAAGTGTTCGTCTTATAAAGGCCTCGGGACTTTGATGGGCTTATCAATTTGAATCGGAGGTTTTAACGTACCATTCTATGTCTTATATATGGCACCTTCCAATTTGCGATAAAAAAACTAATAGTTTTACGGGATTTTTCTTTCTTTTTAAAAAAAATTCTTGCATACTATTATTTTTAAAAAATAATTTGTGATACTGGAAATTTGTTAGACGAAATTGGAAATTATGTAGTTGATATCGAAAATTTTGTTGAATAAGTAAGTTTTTTATTCAAAATTTTCGTTAATATTTATCGGATTTTCTAAAATTTTCGGTTTGGTTAACTTTTTTTGCAATTTTCGAGAAATTTTTAAATTTCCGATAGTTATCATTTTTTTGTTTTTTCTGATTTTTTTATTTTTTTTCTATTTTTAGAGGCAGGATGACCAATAGAACTGTCGTCCAGGCCAGGGCTGAGTAAGCAAAGGTCTCATAGCTTTGGGTTGGACGAGTTGCTCTGACCGGTTCACATCAGAAACGGGTGGTTGAGCGGACGCAAGGTCGATTTCGTGCATCTAGATGCCGAGTTGGTACTAAGGTTGTTGCTGACGAGGTACATGTTGTTGTTGAGGTGCATGTTGCTATGGAGGTACCTGTTATTGTGGAAGTGCTTACTCCTGATATTGTTGAGGTGCCTATTGAGACTATTGAGTTGCCTGTTGGTGATGTTGAGTTGTCTCCTGCTCATGTTGAGGTGATGCTTATGTTGAGATACCCGTGGAGGAGGTGCCTAGTCACAAAGGAGACTATGACTAATATAGATGTTATAACTCGTGCTTCTACATAGACATTTGTTCACACCAGTGGAGCCTTTGTAGGAGGACCGATTGACAGGTCTGTGCTCACAGACTATGCCGACAATGGGGCCTACCGTTTATGGCAGAGAGAGAGGTATATATATATATATATATATATATATATATATATATATATATATATATATATATATATATATATATATATATATTATGTTGAAGTTTAGCTTATTTATGATTTAAGTTTAGCTTATTTATGATTTATTACTGAAAATCCGTTGATTTCTTTATTTTGTTTGTTACAGGACCGTGTCCCACTGAAGGTAACATCCCACGGGGCCAAGTTGAAGGACTAGCCACAAACCGAGATGCCTGAGCGGGTTAGGACTATTGTTCGGAATTTTGGTCTCCTCGACATAACCGGCTACTTGTTGACTATGCTAGACGCTCCCCTTCTGTTTGCTTTCGTTGAGCGGTGACACTCAGAGACATCTTCCTTTCATCTTTTATTTGGGGAGATGGAGGTTACTTTAGATGACGTCTATGCTTTGTTCCATCTCCCCATTGGTGGGTTATTTTTCACCGCTCTTATTAACAGCGATTTGGATGTTGTGACGGCGATCGTACAGGATATGAGAGTGACTGAAGAGGGATGATTAAGAAGTTTGGCTACAATAGGGGTTTTCACTCGCGGCTGTCTTGGTCATATTATTTATAGTATTTATTTAACTATTAGTTGTGGCATTTAGTTTTTACATTTCATGTTTATTAATTGTTGTGTTTATTTTCTATTATTAGTGTTGGATATACGAGCACTTCCCCCGTATCATTGACATAAGGGAGCAGCATATCACAGCAGATGTACCACAGGCGAGAAGATGGAGGTTCAGACATGTGCATTCAGGAGGATTGCTAGAGTACAGGAGGAAGTTGGATGCCTTGACAATTGAGGATGTCATCTAGACATCATACGATGGTCACAGGGTCCACCGTCTGTTTGATTCAAGTTCTTTGTTTTTAGGTCATTTTAGGTGGGAGAGCATGGTGGCTAGACACGTGTCCGAGAGGTGTTTGTGACAGTATGGGTATGTCCAAAGCACCCCATGGCCTGTTCCAGGTATTCCTAGTGGTGGCATTGACATTGATAGATGGTTTTAGAGTAACATTCTCAGCTCAGTTTGTGCCATTACAGAGAGCGGTGAGGGTTCAGGAGGGGTCACAGTGTGATGATGGATACATGGAGTGGTACCTCGTTTTTTAACAACGTCATAATTTTATGATTTAATTTATTCCAAAGATATGTTTCCAAAATAAATTTAGTCATAAAAATGGGGTTTTACTCAAAACCAAATAAATTATGTATGTTTCGAGGTGCGTCTGGAGATGCATCTCCGGAATATAAAGGAACTTTGTATTTTTATGTGGTGCCCTAGTAATATTAAAGGTATATTAAGAAATTCTCATTAATTTTGGCAATTTCTTTTCTCGCCCTTGCATGTTTTCATAAGCTCTTGGAAAAAAGTAAAAAATACCTTTTAAATTCGGAGATGCATCTTTGGACACGTCATTTTCACACAAAATAAGCGCTAATTGTTAAGAACCCCTTACTTTGTTAAACTTTAATTTGAAGATGCATCTCTAAATGTGTTCCAGGGTTTGTTCGCATATGCATCTCATAATTAACCCTTGTTTTCAAACTAAGAAATTTTTGGAGATACGTCTCTGAAAGTTTTTAATGTACATATATCTCACGTCAGATCATCCCCCTCCTCCTTTTTCATTTTTTGAAAAATTTTCTTCCTCCATTGGAGCTCTTGAGGAAGCTTTTTCTAAACAATTTTTGAAGGAACAAGAAAACCTAACAATCCCAACTCACTCAACAATCTACATTGAACATTATTCATCCTTATCAACACTTATTTGAGTAAGTTTCTCCATTAACTTATTTTGATTTTTGATTAATTTATTAGGTAAAATAGTTTACTTTCAATGCATTATGTAGTATTAGAATTCGAAATAGGTAATGTTACAGACATGCACTACGACTTTGATTCATTTTGGGTTGTTAGGGAAAAATTAGGAACTGATTATGCCATTGAAGCAGAACACGAAATGTTTTCGAAGATGCATCTCTGAATTTGGTCTTTTTTGGTTTTTAGATATGCATCTCCGAATTTGGCCCTTTCTGCTACAGAATTTACATAATTTAAAACTAAAGTCTTTGTTTGAATTTTTCCCAAGAGAATGGTTGTAAACAAAAACAGAATGAGACTCGACCGTGAATCCCTAACCATGTCCCCTCGCTGCAAGAGGTCTCTTCAACATGAGCATGTTATCATATGGGTTTCAGCCGGTGAAGTTCGTCCCACCTAGGCCTCACGATGAGAAAGTGTCCACTTCTAGGAGTCGCCTATCTTAGGGGTCCTCATCCTAGGCTCACGTACACTTAAAGGAATCTCCAAGTGCACATGATGGCCTCTTTCCACTTGCATGCCCATATCTATGAGGGACCATTGACACCTCATTATTAATACGTTATAGAGACCATGTTGCTCCATATTCCTGGGCCAGAGAGGTATATTTGTTAATGGTTGTTATTTTCCTGTTTCAACCAAATTTAATGCGACTGATATTTTATATATTATTTTTTTAACTGGAACGCGATTGTTTGAAATCTATTAACAGTGCCAAAAAGACTCACCATCTTTTTCAGCCTAAGTATGAGTGGTTCCAATGTGTCATCAAATGCTCTGATCTTGTCGGTTTATGTTCTTCCGGATACACAACCATAAGTCATGGTATGCAGGGGGATTTTACTGAGTGATGACATAAAGAAACGTCATATTTCCACTTCCTCATTGGTGATATGACGATTACACTAGATGACTATGTTTTCCTTCTACACCTTCCCATCAGGGGGAAGTTACTTGATCAGTCTAGGATCAAAAGTGTTAAGGCCCAGAGATGATGGTGATGTATTTGGGATCTAACCCAATGGAAGCTCTGATGCAGTGTGAGAACATCTGAAGTGCTCGTGCTAAATTTTCATTCTTGAAGGAGCTTCGTTATAGCACCCCGATTTTGTCTTAACTTTTTCAAAATTTCAGGCAATTAGTTCTGTTACGCGATAAGTGTAAACTGTAGTTATTTTTGTATATACTTTTTGTTGCACTTATTGACTCTTTGTTGTTAATATCAGTTTAATAAACCCAGTTTTTGTGTAAATACGTTTAGTTTGTGTTTATTTATGTTTTTGTGTACATAGTGTATCATTTGATGTTTTTCCATTCATTTTGTAGGTATTTATTGCATTTTGGAGCATCGAGGAATAACGTGTCGAAGGCACGGCTCCGGATGTGCATTTTCGGAGTAAAAGACCAATTTTGAGAAGTTTTTCTCAGGAGAGCCTGCTTAGCACGCAAAAGGCCTCTAAGCGTGAGTGCGCTCAGTGCATTTTGTAGCGCGCTACTTGCGTTTTGACATTTTAGAATAAGCTTAGTTTTGGAGCCCGCTTAGCGCGGATAGCGCACTTAGTGCAGTTTAGGTCGGTTTAATGTGTAAATATTGTGCAACCTGCTTAGCGCGGTGAGCCCGCTTAGCACAGTGAGCCCCTAAGCGCGGTCTGTTGAGATTTATTTTATAACTTCATTTTCAATTCATTTTTTGTTATGGTTTTTGGGGTGTCTTTGTTCCCAAATTCCATCAACCTTATTTTTGATAGATTAGCTTAGAAAATAACACTAGGGTTTTGCTTATGGATGATTGGAGGTGGATTTCTCATCAACCGGCACTGACAAACCAAACGATTTGTGGTTTATCTCTTCTGCTCTGTATGTATTTCTCTTTTGTTGGGTTTGATATGTATTTTTACTTTGAACTCCTCTATATTTGTCGCCTATGGCGTTATATAAAACTTGCTTTACAAATCTTTGTCGATTGTTATCCTTGATTTTTTATATTATGGATTTGAGTTGCTATAGACATATTGTTGTACCCAAAAAATTTCCCTC